GGATATTTACGGATGAGCGATCCGTCTGCCGAATGCGCGGGGGTTCTCGGTGATCCACCCAGCCGTCGTCCCTGCGTCTCTTGCGGGGCGCTGCTCTTTTCCGGACGGAGACCCGGACGCGCTTGATTTATTTGATGCGGCGGCGGGTGGCGCGTATTTCCCCCGCGTCTGCTCGCGAATACTTCCTAACACAGCGCCCATGCGCAGCCCAATCTGCCTCCTTCCGGCCGCGCCGCCCGCGGGGTCCGCGAAAAGCGATGGGGCGATTTGTTGTCTCGCCAACCTGCGCATTGTGCGTGGCCCACGCATCGTCGCTGTCCGCCGTGAAGCGGGCCGCCCACCCATCGACTCGCACCGAGTCCGGCAGCGTCACGCCCGGGGCGGCGGAAGCGGCAGCTCCACCGACGGCTTCCTCCACTCGAGCACCGCGGTACCGCGGCACGCGCGAAAACCCGTTTGTCAAACGCCGAACCACCAAAGTTGCGCCCCCAAATGCTGCAGGCCGTGCGACCTCCCAGACGGGGCGGGTCCGGAGGAAACAATGCGACCGCGGCCGTCTCGAGTGAACCGCTCTGCCTTGCGGTGGCCGGCGAGGACGACTGATTCCCTACAAAGGGAGCGGGGCAGCCATACAAAACAAACTACGATGAAGGCAGTCCCGGCCGCGCTTAGATAAAAAAAAATATGGAACAGCGGGGGATTTCGGTATTGCTGGCCTCCCCACTGGCGGGGTCTCCCGGGGGCATTTGCATGCATGCTGGTTTCGCGTGTTTCAAAGCCTTTTCGTTGCTCTGAGGAGGCACTGTTGGGTTATCTTGACTGCTGAGGGTTGCTGGGTGTGTGCGCGTTGGAGGAGTCCCATTGTTTTCTGGTGCCGCACTTCCGGTGACGCAACGGGGTGGGGACGGAGTCATTTTTTCCTCTATGCGCGAGCAGCATGTGAACTGTCGTTGGCCGTTCAGTGTTTGGTAGTGTTGTATTTGTAGTGACTCCATTTCTTTCCTGGGTCATTCCTGTCCCCCGCCTCCGGGGTCAGAGTACGCGCCCCTTTGCTTTGAGGGTGTGGGTGGGATCATTTTCCCTTTTCTCTGTTTCTTCTTTGTGTGTGTGTGTGTGACAGTTTCCCCACCTTCTCTTTGCTTCCCATGCATTTGTTCCGGGGCCTGATGGCGGCAGTAGTGCTGATGTAGCTTCTTTTGTTTGCCAAGTGCCCTGATCTCTTTTTGCTGGTCTCGGCCATTGAGCCTGTTTGAAGGCGCAAGCTGCTCCACAACAATACACAGAGGAGCTTACTGCCCAAAAATTGGGCCCCGTTGAACTATTGAATACGCTCTATATACACATAGGACGTATTTGTTTACGCCTGGGTGTCACTGTTATCATGGCAAGTGATGTCTCTTGCCACTCCCCCGCATGCGGTTGATGGTGGTCCCTGTGTGTACTATCCATATTTCCACTCTGAGAGGGCCCTTGTGGCTCTAGGATACAACCATCATTCTTCTTCTGTACCTCCTGTTAATACGTTGCTCTTCGTTTGTGTAGGCTCTTATTATATATTGCGGAAAAAACACAATATGCGGAGTGGCCGAGTGTTGCTAAAGCAGCGAGCAGTCTTCGTGACGGGTGCACGGACGCCCTTTGCGAAGTCATTTGGCTCCCTTATGACGGTGGATAACGTGCAGTTGGGCACGGCTGCTGTCGGGGGCCTCCTGAAGAAGACCAAACTGGATCCCAAGGAGGTGAACCACATTATTTGGGGCAATGTCGTTCTACAACTTAGTGCCCACAATTGCGCTCGAGAGATTGTCATCGATCTGAATCTCCCTAAAAATATCACGGGTCATCTTACCAGTATGGCCTGTGCGACAGGATTGAACGCCATGGTCCAAGCGGTGATGATGATCGAGAGTGGCCACGCTGACGTCGTCATCGCTGGGGGAAGCGATAGTCTGAGTAATGCTCCTCTAATGTTGCCATCTACTGTTTCGTATGGGCTGATAAAGCTCACCAAAGGCAAGAAGAAGGGCCTTGCGGCTGTTCCTGAGTTCTTCAAAGAGGCCGGATACAATCCTCTACGCTGGCTGCCAAAACCCCTGGCCGCGGAGGAGCGAAGCACAGGTAGGACAATGGGATGGCACGCAGATTTAATTGGGGAGCTCAACAACATCGCGCGTGAGGACCAAGAGGCTCTTGCAATTGCATCGCACAAAAACGCAAGTGAGGCGGTAAGGAAAGGATACATGCAGGATGAAATTGTCCCAGTAACTGTGACAAGGAATGGGCAAACTGCTGAGTTCGTAAAGGATGAATACGTTCAGAGCGACCTTGAGCAGATGAAGGCAAAGCTACCAACCTTGAAACCAGCATTTCGAAAACCGCATGGCACCATCACTCCCGCTACCTCAAGCGGGTTGACAGATGGTGGCAGTGCCATGCTGTTGATGTCGGAGGATAAGGCCAAGCAGCTGGGATATCCTACAGATATCAGCCTAAAAACCTGGCACTTTTCGGCCATCGATCCCTACCCACAACTTTTACTTGCTCCTGTACTTGGGTGGGGCCCCGCTTTGAAGAGGGCAGGCCTCTCGGTGAAGGATATTGACCTCTTTGAGATTCATGAGGCATTTGCCGCACAGGTGCTTGCCACCATCAAATGTCTACAGTCGCCGGAATTCTTTGAAAGGTACACTGGTTCAAAGGAGGTTGTGCTGAAGGAAAAGTTTGATTTTTCAAAACTTAATGTTAATGGAGGCGCTATGGCGCTTGGTCATCCTTTTGCAGCCACTGGTGGACGCCTTGTAACTTCATTGGCAAATGAACTGCGCCGTTCAGGCAAGCGTCATGGCCTTATCAGCATATGCGCTGCTGGTGGGTTGGGGGGCATCGGCATTTTGGAGCACACACCCAAGGCAAAGTAGTACAGTAAGATAACTGCCGTTGCCAGGTAAATAAATCTGGGTGTGTTAGTGGATTCTTGAATGCAAGTTACCAAAGTTTATCTTCCTCTCCTCTTGAGTTTTTATTTTCCTCTTTATATTTTGCCCCACTGGAGTGTGGTGCTGCAATGCGAGCGTGATGCTTTGGCATCAATGTATACAGTTGTGTGTGTTCTTTTTTTTGAGGGGAAGGGAGGGTGGGGAGGAAGTGTATGGGTGCGTATGGGGCCTTTTAGAGAACGAGGAGGCATCGAAAAAGTCTTTTTGTGGGGGTTTGGGCCCCAACGAGAGTATTCTTTCTTCTTGGAGCACCTGGTCAAATTCACTGCTCTCCGATGCTTGTATTCTTCTTCTTCTGCCTACCCTTTAGCAGTTACACAAAAAATTGGAGATGATAGTGTGGGCTGTGGGCACTACCAACAAGGCGAAGCTGGAGTGCGTCCAGGCTGTTGTTCGTATGTGCTTTCCGAGTACTCAGCACGAGGTTCGTCCTGTGGCGGTGACCTCCATTGTTCGTGCACAGCCCATTTCGGCCGAGGAGTCGCAGCAAGGTGCACAACATCGTGCTCAAGAAGCCCTGCGTCTTGTTCCTGAGGCTCACTATGGTGTTGGGCTGGAAGGGGGGCTGGAGAAAATTTCAGATCGATGGTTTGAATGTGGTTGGATGTATGTGATGGAGCGCTCTACTGGGAGATGTGGTATAGGCTCTTCTGCACGTTTCGAGATGAGCCAAAAACTCATGTCCAAGATTCTCAACGAAGGCAAGGAGTTGGCTGAGGTGATGGATGAGCTGACTGGACAGACAGACGTAAGGTCTGGGCAGGGCGCGATGGGAATACTGACAGCCGGATATTTGAACCGTTCCGAGTGCTATTCCCACGGCTTGATTTTTGCGCTAGCTCCGTTCCTCTCTGAGCCAAAGTACTGGGACAAGTAAACACCCTTTTCCTATTTGGGGAAACGCATAAAATGCGCCCTGCTACAGGGGTAATGGAACACTGCTTTGTGCATTCCAATTGCTCTCTGCCATCTGCCACCTCATATTATTCTTGTCCCACCATTGTAGAAGCCTCCGGAAGGATTCTGCGGTCAGATGGGACCAAATTAAATGTGTGTGGGACTTCGTGTTAGACTGGTCTGTTTTACCTTACCCATAACCTGCATTTTGTTTGCAATGATGCCGCGTTGGAAGGTGGGGTGTGCTGTTTTTGGTTTCTGTTTTCCTGTCACCCACTCCAAGTCCTCCTCCTCCTACTGCTAACTTCCATGTGAGGGAGACTGATGGGTGCGGGGCTCCCTAGGGACTGCCACTTCGTCTGTCCCCGACGAGGTCCCGTTAATCGTAATACGCCTTTTAAATTCGTTTCTTTGCTGGTGGATGGGCATTTGCGAGCTCCTGCGCGGAGCGGAATGTGAGACGCGTTTAAACAAACTATCACCACCCCTTTCTTCTCCCTTCTCTATCGCTTTCAGAAGAAGGAAGAAAACCACCACCCAGTCGCATTGTTATTATTACCATTATTATTATTATTTTTATTTTTATCAACTTGTTGACCTTCAGGGGGACGCTTATGTTTACACTGGTTGGGTTGGGCCTTGGCGATGCCAGTGATATCACACTAAAAGGACTTAAGGCGGTGCGTGAGGCGGACATTGTATACTTGGAGGCTTACACTTCCTTTCTCATCAATAGTTCGGCAGCGGAGCTGGCTAGCGTGTACGACAGACCCGTTCTGGTGGCTGACAGAGAGATGGTGGAGAGTGGGGAGGTGCTGCAGGAAGCTTCGGAAAAAAAGGTTGTCTTGCTTGTTGTTGGCGACGTATTTGGGGCTACGACGCACTCAGATTTGGTGGTACGATGCCATAAGCAGCGTATTACCTGCCGAGCCATTCACAACGCCTCCATCATTAATGCTGTGGGTTGCTGTGGGCTCCAGCTCTATCGCTTTGGTCAAGTACTCTCGCTCTGCTTTTGGACGGAAACATGGCGCCCAGACTCGTGGTACGACAGACTTAAGTCTAACAGAGCGATGGGTCTCCACACATTGGTGTTACTTGACATCAAAGTCAAGGAGATCTCCGACGAGAATCTGGCGCGTGGGCGTAAAGTGTACGAGCCATCACGCTACATGCGCATCACAGAGGCCATTGATCAGATACTAGAGGTTGAACAAGAGAGAAAAGGGGGTGCAGTGGCGGCAGATGGAAGCACTGTGGCTATTGGCCTGGCACGCGTGGGCTCCACGACGCAGCAAGTTGTCGCTGGAACAATGCGGGAGTTGCGAGAGGTTGATTTTGGTGACCCACTTCATTCGCTCATCATCGCGGGTGACATTCACGCCTGCGAGATGGAGCACGTGGACCTCTTTCGTGTAAACTAATTAAAGGAAGAGGCAGGGCAGAAGGAAGTGACGGATCGCGGGGGAACGTTAAAGACGCCAAATTCATTTTTAACTTTTTTTTTTTTCTTACCTTGCTTTGGACCCCCGCAAGCGGAGTTTGTGTTTATTTGCGTCTTTCATCCCTCATGCGCCCATCTCTTTAAGGGAGCAGGCTCGCAGGTGGCGTCCTCGTTGCATTAGGGGGCATTCATGCAGGCTGCCACACGACCCTTGCGCCATGTGCGTGCCACTGGCGTTCTGATGAATTTTTTCCCTCTAGGAAAGTGCAGTGGCCCAGTGAACGCCCATGTGCTGCTGCCGCGGAACAATCTGGATGGTAAGACGACGCACCACATAAATAAGATACAGGGACAAACGAAGGACCCACAGCTTGTGCTCTCGCGGGATGAGTTGAAGCTGCGGTGCGAATACTGTCGCTTTGAGTGGCTCCATGACACCCTCTGTGTCCGCTGCCCCGCTCAGCCAACGCACAACAAGCGTGAGATGTGGCTGCAGCCGACGTGGATGTGGGGCAGACAGCAGCCGTATCAGTACTATAAATACATGCCGGCGGTACGCAATCCCAGGACGGGCATGCCGCTGGCTCGCGAGGATGCAAGTGGCATGAACAACGAGAGGCGTGGGCAGGGGCTCACCACGAAAACGCGCCTGCTAGAGAAGGAGCGACGCGGTATCTCTAGGGCGGTGAGCAACATTGGGAGGTACAACACCCGCTGGCAGACGCGATTTCCCTTTCCAGTGTAGCGGTGCGGAATACTTTGCTGTGCTTGCTTGCCTGCCCTTGTCACTCTGACGGGCCCTCGCCGCGGGTGCGCACGCGCTTGCCCTGCCTTTGGGGTGTATTGTGTGTTGCCCCTGTAGCGCGATACCGCTGTCTCTGTCCCACTTTTCTCCCAATCTGGTAGGCTGAAGAGCGCAATCCGCAGCAGCAGCAGTAGCAGCTGCAGCACACACCACCAACGGCACTTGTTGCACGGGAGCGATCCCTGGCAAGCAGCGCGGGAGGAGGATACTTCACATTCAAGGCAGATTGGAGGTGATGAGCGCGGACCCTGATGCACCGGCGGATCCCAATCGCCGCAGCGGGGGCCACATCATTCGCAACATGATTTATCGACACGACAGCGGTCGTAATCTTGAGATTGTCACAGGCTGGCAGGATCAGGGGACGCGTGAGTACAATCAACGCATAGTGCCTCCCGCCAAGCTGGAGCTGCACCCGAGGCACCCATGCCACGCCCTCAACGCACAGCTGCTGCGCTGCAGCTTGGACTGCCCGGCGGAAATGAAGCTGGCGGGACGCATCGCCACGTGCAACACGGAGCGCAAGAATCTCATGGTTTGTCTCACAAAAAACAAGCACTGGAAGCCAGCGCCCCCGTCGGCGTGGTACAGGCTTTGGTGACCAACCTGCACGGATGCAGCTCACAGGCGCCCGCCCCGCCCCGCACCCCCAATAAACGCCGACTAAATGTCCCTCTTTCAACGACAGTGCAAGTTGCTCTCCTGTTCTTCTTGTGTATGCCTGTCTGTGTCCATCTTTTTTTTTGTTGTTGTTGTTTCTTCGATTGCGCCCGCTTTGGCCCTATTTTTGCTGTCGTTAGAAGCAACACAGGGCCTCCAGGCAACAAGGGAATAACAGGTAGCAGAGTGAGAGAGTAGGGAAAAACCGACAAGCGCAACAAGCCAGCCAACCAACAAGGATGCTTCGCCGCACACCACCTGCCGTGAGCTTCACGGCATCGCACCGCGCCCTCATGCTGCGCACGAGCCGCCCACTTCTGGGAGGCGACATGCACTCCACCGAGCGCTTCAAGGCGGCATGGGATGAGATGCCCATGCACCTCCTGGGCGCCTCCCGCAAGCAGGTGTTCGAGTGGCACTGGAAGTGCATGTACCAGCTTGGCCTCCGCGACACCACCCGCATGACGAAGCTCCGTGTGTTGATGAACTGGGGTGGACTCTTCTCCTTCCTCTATCTCACCTACATCTCAGTCTTCTACTCCTCCTTCTACCACGTGTACTACCAGGACTGGCCGGAGGAGTTCAAGCGTGAGAACGCACGCGCCTACGCGCAGTCAAAGGGTGGCGATGTGTGGGCAGCCGACGGCAAGTTCATCCGCCCATACTTCCACATCAACCCACCGATGCTCACCATGACGAGTGAGGACCTGTGAGCGAGGGGGTTAGTCAGGCGAGGAGGCAGAAGCAAATAGAGGAAGTAGGAAAACGTGTATTCTGTCAGGCAAAAAAAAAGGGTCTATTGTCTGCAAGCGGAGGGGGAGGGGGAAATTATATAAAAAAAAGATTGGGGTGTGTGGGTCCAAAACTTTAGTAAAGTGCGCAGAAAATTTTGTAGGAGCGGGGGTATTGTGTCTTTATTTTTCCCCTGCTGCCCCTTTGCATACGCGTTTGGTGGGAGGAATGAATTTCTCGTCAACCGGTGGTTCCCACTTCAACCCCACCAAAACCCCGGCGCATTAAAAACAAAAAGAAAAAGGAAGAAATACGCAGAAAAAAAAGAGGGGTGGCGGGTGCCAAACACATGTAGAGAGAGGGGGGGCGGGGGAAAATATTTCTGCTACTTCAAGTCGCCTCTATTAGTACGGTGGAAGAGTTTGTGGGAGCGGCGGGCGAGGAAGGAGTAGGGTGGGCCTGCTGCGAAAGAGAGTGGTGGTGGTGGGGGGACGGTGCGTGTCGTGCTGCGGACGCGTGGCCTCCCGGTAACCCGGTTTTGCGCGTCTGCCTGTAATGCCTCTGGCGTGTGCTCCACCGCGTCTCCTTCTTCTCTTTTTCGGGTTTGCCCTGAGAAGTTAGTTGCCGAGGCACGGCGGAAGGCGTGTGCTGCGGCGAGTCGAGCGCGCCAATTGCGCGGGAAGGCGAGGAAAGTAAGGACAAGGAAAAAAAAAAGGTGGGTGGATTCGCATGTTTGTCGTGAAGTGTGAGGCGGCCGTCCTCTGGCATCCCGCGGTGCACCACAGCCTGCTCCTGCTGCGCGCCTTGCGGCAGCGCCACACACTTGTGCTGGAACCCGCCCGCCCGACGACGACGACGACTCGGCCAGACACCTTTTGGCGTCTCTCGCACCCCGGCAGATATCTTGCCATCCACGCACCGGGCACGAGCGGGGCGGCCTCCCGCGACGGGGCAGAGGCGGCGACGGAGGAGCCGCCACTGCCGCTGCTGCGCGCCCCCGAGGGGGGACTGCGCAGTGTGCACAGCCCGCAGCACATTCTCTACTTCTTTGCCGCTGCCCCGGAAGGCGTAGAGCACCAGCGGCAACTCCAGGCGTACTTGGATGCGGCGCTCGTCGCCGACCATGTGCTGCGCGCCGTGGACGACGTCCTTCTGGCACGGAGCACGACCGAAATGGAGGCGACGCGGCAGACGCACAGCCAGCTGATAGATCTCGTCACCCGCCTGGAGACCTCGCTGGAGAGCGACGGTGATGACGTGCCGCGAGAGACGGAGCACTGGAGCACGTGGCCGCTCTTCACGACCTTGAAATTTCTAGTGGAGGAGGCTGGGCTCTTGCTGGGCCCATTTCCTCGGGTGGCGAGGGCTTACCACCAGCTGCAGGGCTCCAAGCCCGTTGTTGCGCACTCGCGGCTCGTCAACCGCACGGTGCAGTTGACGCTGAGCGGCGCGGGGTCGTCGGTTGTGCCGCCGCCTCCGTGGGCCCACCGTGGGTTTCTCCGCGAGGTCCAACGTCAGCTGGCGGACTACACGGCGGACCCCGCTGAGCGCATGATGGACGGTGTCTCGGGTGAGAAGGGGCCGCTGAAGGCGCGCGTGAGTGGCGCTCGCTTTGGACTGCAGCCCGTCTCCGCGCGCATGCCGTGGACCATGCAGCGCGCGCGGATGGGCAAGCCCTAGCCGCCGCAGACAACTTTCACGGGAGGTGTGTCTGGAAACAAGGCTACTGGATTGCCTTTTTTTTCTTTTGTTTTGCTTTTCTGATTGACTTGCCCTTTACGCGTTTCTTTTATGCCTTGCAGCACGCCATTCCTCTTCCTCTTCCATTGTTGCGTCGCGTGGCCTTGGCTGTGGACGACGGCTTCCCTGTGTGGAAAGGGTGCGATTAGATTTGGCACGATGAGTCGCAACGGCGAGCTTTGCCTCAAGAAGGTGATTCTCTCCTACTGCCCCGGCAAGGGGTCGCCTAACACGCGCCAGTTCCTCGCGACACACCTGCCCGCCTTCCACGCAAAGTACCCGAGCGTGACGATTGACATCCGCCCGCGGTTGTGGGCCGAGACAAGCGTGACCGGCGTCTACCGCGACGGGAGCGAGCGGAGCTACAAGACGAAGTTCATGAGCCCAATGGGCATCTGGCTGCGGCTGCATCGCCTGGTGAACACCGCCAACGACTACGACCTGCCGTTCTCCGCCTCCCACCTCCACTTCCAGCGGCGCTCGGTGCAGGGGACGTGGAACCCGTGGCTGTGGCACTACGAGAGCGAGCGCCGGCGCACGGAGACCCCGCAGTGGCGCCGAAAACTCTCCGAGGAGGAGTGGGACTACTACGTGGAGCAGTATAGCGCACAGATGAAGCAGGAGGAGGAGGCGATTCAGCAGCGCGTGGCCGAGCACACAGAGATACCTGAGCAGAGCACTAGGGAGGTCCAGGAGCGGTGGAAGCAGCACGTCATGCCGCGGCTGCAAACGGATATGGAGTTTAACCTCTCCCACTTCAAGCGGCAGCACGCGCGAGGGCAACTACCTGAGCCGGTGACGATGGGCGAGTACCGGCTCTTCTCCGTGCCTGACCACCGTGAGCTTGGGCAGGATGCAGTGGACATGCTGCGGCGAAGAGAGGCAAAGCAGCAGGAGGAGTGGTGGAGGCGCCGCAAGGGGCAACTGAAGCCACCGAAGTGACGGGGGCGCGTTGCGGCGGGTTGCGAGGGCAACGAACGCACGGAAAGGGATGAAGACAAGCGCGCCCGAGCGGTCACGGTGTGTGTGTGTGTGTAGCTCTGGCGGCCGCCGCATCCTCCCAGCCTCCTATGGAGTCCCGTGATGTGCGACGGGGGACCGATCACACCCACACCCACACGGGCTCCGAGGTTTTTCTTTCTTTTTGGGGCCTGACAGGCGCCGCCGCAGCTGCCGCTCTGGCCCCCGGATGCGGGGCGGAGGGGGCTGCAGTCCTGGCGTTCCCGCAGCTGCGTGGGCGCTGCCTTCTGGGCGGCGGCGGGCGGGAGCAGGCACACGCTTCCCGCCTGGGGGTTCTCTCAGCCACGGCGCCGGGGACGACGAGCTGCAGTAGCAGCACGTCAAGGTGAATGGAACACGAGGCGACAAAAAAAAATAGGCGCACTGCGATGGTGTTTTTGTTGGTGGGTGCTGTGGTGGGGGAATGTGTGCTGCGCATCATGCTTCTCTTCTTCTCCCTCCCCGTCTCTCTGCCGTGCCTCAATAGTTGTAGAAGGACGTAATAAAAATTTGCGGCCCACGAGCCCCTGGCCAACACCAAAGTAGTCGTTAGCGTGCTAGCTCCCTCCACGGCCAGGTGCGGAGCGGGTCGAAAACGCGCTGGGCGTCCCAGACAGCCACACACCGCTCAGCCAGCACACTAGAGTAATTTTTATTCTAGTGTATACATGTATGTATATATACATACAACTTTGCACATTTAACCACACCAGCTTAACCTGACACTTGTTTATACTAATAATTGGCAAAAGGAACGAGAGGGAGAGAGAGAACGGCAAATAGTGAGGGAGAGAGAGAGGAAAATAGAGAGAAAAGGGCGGAGCGGTGAATAGGGGCGGAACAAATGACAAACTCGAAGTCAGAACCGGCTTCCGCGTCGGACGCGGATGCGGTGTTGATACCGCAGAAGGGCTCCACTGTAGTGGGGCCTGGCGTCGTTCCGCTGCTGCACATTCCGGACGCAATACGGCATTATACCCCGCAGCACGAGAGTAGGTGGGGCTTTAGTCCAATCATGTCCTCTATAACCTCTCCTGGGGACTCGAACAGCGGCACCGCACGGTGCCGCATCTCTGGAAGCTTGCGTGGCATGCTTGACACCACGCTCGAGGTGCCTGGCCGCCTGATCATTCCGCTGGAGCGACTGCGGGTGCTGCGCGGTGCGGTGCTGGGGGCGGGCTCCTTTGGGGAGGTGCTGCGAGGGGAGTTGAGTCTGCTAGTCCCCGCCGCGCGGCAGGGCCCCGCACCGTCGCGAGTCAGCTTCCCGCGGCTATCCGCACAGAGCTGCTCCAACGCGGCAACGGGGCATCCCGTTTCTGTCGTGGAGCTGTTCGGCGAGGAGGAGCAACCGTCAGCGGCGCGAAGCACAGTCAGTGGCACCAGCTCCATAAGCCCCGACGCCCTGATGCAGCCGGACCCTTGCAGCCCCGCCTCAACGGAGAGGCTGACCCTGCAGCCGTCGCCGCCGTTAATAGCATCGCCAGCAATGCCGCCGTCGTTGAAGCCGCTAACAACTTCGTCGCCACCGTTGCAGCCCCACCTGAATAGGCTGCTGAGAGACATCGTTTGTTTGCAGGCACCACTGTCGGACGACGCCTTCACGGAGGACAGCAGCAGCTTGTTGCGGCCTTTCCTCCGCCCTGCGACGAGCCGAGCCGAGGTGGGGGGCGCATCTACGGCGTGGAAGGACAGGGCCTCAGCTGCCGCCGATGGGGGGGTGATCGTCAGGCCCGTGGCGGTGAAGCGCATCGACAAGTCACGTCTCCGGCGGTGGCCGAAGATGCTCAAGTCGTTTGGGTCCGAACTGAAACTCACCGCCTCCCTCCGCCACCCGTGCATCGTGAGGGTGTACGGTGCGGCGGAGGACGACGCCGAGCTGTACCTTGTCATGGAGCACGTCCTGGGGGACACGCTGGAGCAGCACATCAAGACCCACAGGCCGGAACGCACGGCTCTCCTGGCGCCCCGCTTCCTCGCCGACGTTGTGCTGGCGTTGGAGTACCTGCACGCCGCCGGGGTCGTCCACCGCGACGTCAAGCCATGCAACCTGCTGGTTACGGAGGACAAGCACGTGGTCCTCGTGGACTTTGGCTGCGCCTGCTACCTCAGCGACCTCGCGGCGAACAGCTTCGCCGGGTCCCCCGCCTACATCTCGCCGGAGATGTTGCGCGTGAGTAGGGCGAGTGCGACAAGTGATCTGTGGGCGTTGGGCTGCGTCCTCTTTGAGCTCTTCGCAGGCAGCAGCCCGTTTCAAGCGGAAACCCCCGTGTTTGTGATGCGCAAGATAAAGGACTACCGGGACGGCGAGCTGGAGTTCCCGCCGCGCTTCCCTGCGGCGGCCAAGGACCTCGTGGGGCGTCTCCTGCGACGCGAGCCCACGCACCGCCTCGGCGCCGATGAGCTGGGTGGGTTCAAGGAGCTCAAGGCGCACCCCTTTTTCGCGGGCGTTGACTGGAGGCAGGCGCCAAAAAAGTCGAACCTCACCTTTCTCGCCGGCGACACTTCGCTGGAGCTGCAGCCGGGTGTGTTGGGGGATGGCGAGGGGGTCGTGCACTGCTCGCTGGTGCGCAAAGAGGGGAGCAACATGCTAAGGCGGATGTCCGGCAGGCGTCTCCTCGTCCTTACGGACCTTCCACGCCTGTTCTTCGTGGAGCTCTCGACGCGCACTGTGAAGCACACCATCCCAGTCACCGCAGACCTCCACGCGAGGGCGACCTCGGCGGACTTCTTTCGGGCCGTGACAAAGGAGCGGAACTACGTCTTCCGGGACCTCAGCGGGCACGCCAGCCGGTGGGCCACGTGCGTCAACGACATGGTGAGCCGCCTCTACCGCGTGTCTAGCCGCAGTGCCGCGACCACAAACCTGAAGAGCGGCAACAGCGGTAAAGCAGGTGGTCACCGTTCGAGTGCGTGATCATACGAAGCGAGGGGTTGACGAGGAGTGTTGCTATTTTTTTTTGCCCTACTGGTGCAGCCACGTCCTTGGGCTGCTTCGGTAGGGCCGTGGACGCGGTGAGTGTGTGTCTATCTCTGCCTCTCCTCCTCACCTTTCCCCTCTTCCTCGCAGGAGGGAGAGGAGGAGAGGCGATGGGGGAGGGAGGTCCTTGCCAGGGAGACAGCACCCACAGAGTGCGAGCGAGGGAGAGAGTGGGAGCGAACGACCCTTGGAGTGCGGCGACGACGATTCACCCAGCCAACGTCAAGCGAACGCCACCGCATCATACATGTACACATGTGTGTGTGTCTGCGCATGCGTTTATGGATATCTACATGCTTGCATCGTTGTCCCCTCTTCCCCTGGGTATTGCGTGCTGCCGCTGCGGCGGGGGAGAGGCTTTTGCCATCGCCTCCCCCCCCCCGTTATCCTACTGGAAAAACAATATAAACTACGGACTTGCGGTTATTGCTGTTTCAGTCATTTATTTATTTTTTTTCTTCCTCCTCAGCAATCATGCAGGATTTGGAGTGATACACGAAACGCATTTTACGCACTCTGCTCCTTACTTTTTTTTTTGCTTTTCTTTACCACACGCCCCCTTTTTTTTTGCATTCTTTTTTTTGGTTTGTCTCTGCGCCTCCGCGGCTTTCACGCATTCCTGTTATGTAATTCTCCCCTTCTTCTCTTTTGGTTCCTGCAACTAAACGGCCTTTTCGATGTTCCTGTTTTGTTGTGCTTTTTTTCTTCTTTTTCCTTTGCGGTGGAAACAACCAAAAAAAAACAAGAGAAGAAGGGGGTGGGGTGGAACGACGCCGCCCGGGCCGGTAGGTGCAGCAGCAGCTGCTGCTGGTGATGCACGGAGGCGGTGTGTAATGTGTGTGTGTCTTTCTCTCCCCCCTCTGTACTTATTTCTCTTTCTGTGCGTGTATTTTATCTCTCTGCCTCCCTCCCTCCCTCTTTCCATCTCCCTCCTCTCTCTCTGCGGGCACCCCTCCGCCCGCTCGCGGCTGTCCGTCAAGTGCCTGCTTCCTCCTCCTTCTCTTTGCTTTGCCCCCGCCCCCTTCGCGGCAGCGGTGCTGGCGCGGCGTACGCGAGGCGAAGAAACCCCCTCTCCTCCCGCCCAGCCACACACACACACACACACGCACACACGCACACAGAGGCATGGGTGCTGCACCGAGCGCAGAGATACTCCGCGAGGCGCCATTCCGCCCTGCACGCGGCGACTCTGGCCGCGTCATCGCGCTGATTCCCATGACCGCGGACTTCTTCCCGTCCCCCGAGTCCCAGCTCTTCGGGCAGCTCTACGAGGCCCGCTGCGACCCCTACGTGCGGTACTACTTGCGTCGCGACGCAAACACAGACGTCAGGCTGGACGTAATTCCACCCATTGCCTTCACCCGGGAGGAGTACTACGCGGCCTGCATGGACCTCGCCCGCGCGTGTCGGCTCTACGAGACGACCAATGAGCTGCGCCAGTGCTACATGGCAGACCCGGCGCGGCACCACCGTTTGGTTCGCCCGGTTCCCTGCGCCGTGGCCTTCCTCTACAACGACCGGCGGGACACACCGGAGGGCTGCGTGGTGCTGGGCGGTGCCTGCGTCACGGTCATTGGCGGCATTGGGTGTGAGCTGAAGACGTCCGACGCCGACGCGGCGGCCCCGACGTTGGAGCTAATGATATTCCTCCGCAGGTCGGCCGGCGACCACAACATGGTGCGTGCCATGCTGTTTGCCTCGTGGCTCTTCCACGCGCAGTGCAAGGAGGCGTGCGGGCTGCCGCGCGTTCCCATGCTCCCCGTGAGCTTCCGCGCACTGAAGACGAACATTCCATTCCTCTGCTTCCTGCGTGAGATGCGGAACCGCGTGGACCTCCTGCACGAAAACACAGCGGAGCACTCCATGTGGATTGACGGGGCGTTTGTTTGCGGCGCCGTCACCGCCGAGCATGCGGCGGAGTTGTGCGAGGCCTTTGCGGCGCAGTATCGCCTCCAGCTTGAGGCGAAGGCAGGCGCAAAGCCGGACACCCGGCCCCTGCCGCTGGCGGCGCGACTCGTCGACGACTCCTCGAGCAGCAGCGTGGATGCGGGGGAGACAGGCTGCACGGGCCATGGCTTGGCCGCCGCCCGCTTCCACAAACAGTTCTTCACCCTTGCCGGCTTCATAGAAACGGACGACGTCGTCATCCCAGCCGCGACGCACAGCTCAAACGAGGTGTACGTCGTCTGCGTTGATGCCTTGGTGCACGTTGCGCAGCGCGGGGAGGAGGCTGCAGCCGGCGACACCGACGGCGCGGGTGTCTCTGGCGGATTCCCGTTGAAGGTGCGACGCGGGGACATCATTCGGTTTGTGCCGGCGGCCGCAGAGCAGACGCAGGGGGCGCAGTACCCCAGTGCGGAGGGCAGCTGCACAGGCGCCACTGAAGGCGCCGAGGACGCGGAGGCGCGGCAGGCGAGGGGCGGCAGCTGGCAGGTGGACGCGACCATCCACCTGGAGAACGTCTTGCTTTCCTTCGTGCACGACGAGTGCAAGAGCGCCCGCGAGGCCCAGGCGAGTGACCCGCACTGGCTGCGGGACAAGGAGACAGGCGAGCTCGTCGCTGACGGCGGCTTCCTCATCTGGTGCTTCGAGCGCAAGGGCACGAAGTACTTCTACGGCACCGTGCCGAGGTTTGCCAACGCGTTTAGGCACCGACGGGAGGCGGCGCGCCGTGCGGCATCCCGCGCGGAGGCCGAGGCGCACGACCCGCCTGCTGGCGAGGAGGGTGGGACGCAGCGCAAGGGCGCCGCCGCCGCCGCCGCCAGGGCGAGGGCGAGGGCGCCGGGCAAAGGCGCCTCGCAGGCCCACGCGGCCCCCGAGAAGGAGCGGGAGCCGGGCCACAGGAAGGACGACGGCAGGCTGCCGCGCGACGCGGCCCGGCTGCTGCCGTGGATGGTCGTGAACGACGTGGGCCCGGGCCCCGTGATCCCCTGCTACCCCCCGCTGGCCACCTTTGCCCCCCTGCAGCCATGCTACGCGGATTCGGCCCCGTTAATGATGATGTCTCCCTCGTTGGCGTACGGCTCCGTCTCGGGGGGGCTGTCCGGCGACTCCCGCGGAGACTCGCTGCTGGCGCCCGACGAAGGCAGCGGGCGGCGCGGCGCGGGCCGGTACGGCGCACCGGAGTCACCGCCGCCGCCGTGCTTGCCGGTGGTGCAGGCCGTGGGCATGCCGCCCGCGCCGTCGGTCCAGTACGTCCCGTACGCGCACACCCTGCCGCCGCCTCCGCCGCCTCCGCCGCCGCCTCTGCAGACGACGTACTACTGCGTCTATCCTGCGCTGCCCCACTCCGGCATGCAGCCGCTGCAGCCGATTTCGTACCTGCCCACGCAGCTGCCCCCGCAGCCCAATGGGAACCCGCTCTTCATCATGCGGCCGTGATACTTTCTGCACAGGCTGACGCCGCGCCGCCTGGTGCTCCTCGCCCCTTTTTTACTTCTTGCCACGTGAAGTCTTCCTTTTTTTTCGTTGTATATGGACACTCCTCCGCTCCGCGTGCTGCGTGGGCATTTCTTCCTTGCTTCTCTTCCGCTCTTCGCTCTCCGGGCTGCGGCGTCGGTGGCGATTGGGCTCGACGCAGCGGGCAGGCAGGCAAATAATAACAGATGCAAAAATAACTCAAACGGAATCAAGCAAACATGAACTGAGAAGTGACTTGTGCCGGCGTCGCCAAAACACTCTCCAATGGGCGCATGCAGGAGAGACACCCGGACACAAACACACACATATATACATATACACATACACGTAAAATAAACAAACCGATAAGTAAATAAATAAATAAACATATATATATATATATGCATTTACATTTATGGGCTCACGCGACTACACACATGACTGGGGACAGGGGAGGGAAGGAACGACGACGATGGGAAGGAGCGGAATTACCCGGCGTCCAATGCAGGTGTTGGTGGAGGAAAAGCCCCCCAAACATGAAAATAAAGATCATGTGCTAAATGCGTCCTTGTACACATCCAGGTTCATATCAACACGTTTGTATCCTGCGTTGTTTTCTTCGTTGTTTTTTTTTGTGCGTCCCTCCTCCTTTGACTTACTCCACTTTTATGTGTGTGTGTGGGGGTGTGTGGGCTTCGCACGTTTTATTGTTGCTTTCTTAGCAGAGGCGACGGCTGGTGGCCTCACGGTTTTTTTTCTTTTCGGGCGGGGGGGGGGTGCTGTGTGTGTGTGTGTCTGCGTTCCGCCTTCCCTGTGCTACGGGACGCCGCCGCCTTCGTCCCCCCGCTCATCGCCCACACGCTGAGCCCTTTTTTTTTCTTTTTTTGCTTTTTTTTGTTTGCTCCTCGTTGCGCCCACCGTCCCTCGGCCGCTTTATTTTCCTTCCTTCTCCGACGGGAGCCTTTGTGGTGGGTAGAAGTTCCACGCCTTTTTTCTATTTTTACTGTTCTTTCTTCTTTTATTTTCCCCCGTTGCTTCTTTGCTGTGCGGCGAACGTGCGTTTCCCACACTCCTTGTCACCCTCTATTTTCTACAGTTTTTTTTTTTTCGTTTCCCTTGCGTTATACTTCCCGCGCCCGTGCCTTTTCTCTGCCGCTTGCATTTGATTGCATCGTTGCCGCCCGCAGAGGCTGCGGCCGCGTCGCTCTCTCCTTCTCTCTCTCTCTAAATATATATAATTTCTGTATCTCTGCGTGTGTGTCCGCGTGTGGCTCCTCCTCCCCCTCCCTTCCCACAGCTGTCTGCTTGCGTTGCCGCTGCAAGAGCTCTCAGGGGTGCGAAGGCGAGGGAAGGGGTTCGACAGGCATTGAAGGGGGGGGCGCCTGGCGGATCCTCTTCGGACTGCTTGCTTGGACAGCCGCACGGTCATTAACCACACGGCGGTGTTTGCCACACATACATAACACTTGTGCATAGGGCGCGTACATCTTTACACACACACACACACACACACACACACACGTAGGCACTCAGCCATAGCTCCCCCGGGCGGCCAGGCACGGGAAGGAGCACGAGGAGTATTTATCCGTAAGCAAGAGTAAATAAAATAACGAAGAGAAAGAGAAACTGCGAGAGAGGCAAGAAAGTAAAAAGCAGGACAAAAAGTAAAAAAGGG